CCCCCCCCCCCCCCCCCCCCCCCCCCCCCATCGATATCCCCCCAGGCTCATGGGCAGCCACGATGGTGATGGTCAAGGCGGTATCCTCCAGCTATTTCCTTACGCAGGCGTTGTTGTGCTTGGCATCGGGGACGCGATGGTGAGAGGCAGCGAACGCGATGACCGTTGTGTTTTCCTTCTTTCGTTGGTGCCGCGAATTTTCATTCCACCTTTTGTAAACGGCCTACAAACTTGCGAAAGATGAACAGGGAAAACCTGACGGTCAACTCAGGGTTTAATTTTTTTTGGCATCGTTGTTGTGTTGAAACCTTCCACTGTTTTCATTCTTAGCGGTGAACCATGTAAACAATTGTGTGTGATTTGGCTTAGTCTTGATGGCGTGTTCTGGCCGCGATTTGCTAATGCTGCATGCCCGTTGTTTGTGCATCCTCCGGAATCCCCCCTATTTGCCATCGGTGTAGCCGTACCTCCGTCCTAGCTATTTCGTGTTTCGACGCACCGGCTCATGGATTGATTGGTTCATCATGACCGTCGTTTGGCTGTTGCCATGATCAGGGCGCCATGGTTGGGTCGAGCGTGGGACGGTTACACTGGCCGGGCTCACGCCGCACACTGGAAGGCTCGGCCTCCGTATTCTTGAGCACCCTAGGCAGCCTGCTGCTCTTGTGGTTTGTGCTGCTGGGGTTGAGAGGGGAGGAGGATAGCGGAGGGGAGGGGTGGAGGAAAGCGGCTCGGAGTTTAGCGTGGCCGGTGGCGGTGACGAGTCTAATGGAGGCCTTCACAACACAGGTATGCATGTACGCAGAATTTCGTGTTTTTCGTCGTTGTTGTCTTGACATTCGGACTTAGTTTTGGCCTTGTATACTCTGTCGTGCACCCATTCGTTCCGATCTTTTTGAGACAAAGACAATCCAGTTGTTACAAGCGAGCCGGAAGTACCCAGATATTTTCCCACAACTGGCGTCAAGTATCACTCCGAAGCAACGCGAGATAAAGAAAAGAGAGAGCACGAGCAGAAAGGCCCAATGGTAGAGCCCATTCCTCGTAACTCGGAACCCCAACCACTTCCGAAGTACTTCCAATATGATGTGTTTACAAGAGTGCATGATTGTTTTGGACCAAAGCTTCACCTTGTAAACGGGAAAGAACCAATGCGGGACAAAAAGAAATCGGGGCCGGGGTATCTCTCCAGCGGTGTTATTTTTTTCGAGCAGGACAAAAACGCACGTGTGTCCGTTGTCAGACTTTCTATCTCCCCGCCCTCACTCGCAGACAGTAGTGGCCATCCTACCGTATACGACACCAGATAACACACCCCCTAGGCCGATTTTCAAAGCTCCCTTACGCCATGACGAAGAGAATCCATAAACGAAACGAAACGTCTTCGGAAAGTTCTCGACGAGACGGCTTCGATGCCACCGTTTTCGGCGCTGTGACTCTTTCTGCTGATGAGAAATCGAGCTTTGCAAATCGGTCCAGGGTGGGTGTTATCTTGTGTCGTATACGGTATTCCCGCCCCCAGCTATTATTCGTCTCCCCTCCCTGCACATCGACGCGTTTTCCATTGTCCTTCCATGACAGCCGACGCTCTCTCATGTCTCGCCTTGCTTCTTGCGACGGAAAAACACCGCGAATACGATGTGTGTTTGTATCCACTCGAGTTTGCGAGTTTTGGGAAGTGTGTTTTGTTAGCCGTTGTGACCGTAACCGTCCCAACACGAATCAAGGTCACGCCTGAAGGGCCAAGTTAGAGGGCGGCTCGGACGAAACGAACACACACCTCTGTAATTGTGCTACTATGTTGATTGCTACATGTGCACCCCACGGAGCCCGCAGTTTCCCTCAAGGCATACTACCGTCTACTGTCAACTAAGGTCTATACCCCCCTCCACCCTCTCGCTTTTCGTCGCTCCCTCTCTCCCTCTCCCTCGACGTCCATCCCCCCCCCCCCCCGGCGTGTTGGTGCTCGGACTGGATGCTGGATTTGTATCTGGGTCGGCGTTGGTATGTCTGCGCTCTTGGATTGATGGATCGATTGGCGTTTTCAGGTGGACAACCTCGTCCTTCCGTGTGTCCTGTTGGCTTGTCTTGCCGTAGGGGAGGCATGAGAAAAGCGATGATAGCGATAGGGATCGTGAATGGATCATGGCAGCGGATGAGCGAGTCAAACAGTGATGTCGGTGGTGACTGTTTAATAGAGAGTTTGGCAAAGTTGACGATATGTGATGCTGGTGAATGGTCTAAGTCTGCTGCAAGTCTCGGCTCTGTTTTCAGTGCTATCGTTGAAGAGAGGAAAGTGTGAAAGCTCAAGCATTGTCGGCGGGACAAAGACCGAATGGATCAAGGGGGTGGCAGAACTTGTGTGTGGCTAATGTAGAGTTGTAGGCAAGCGTGACTGCTGACCCCGACCAATAGCCTTATTGGGATAGATGTTTTTATTTCTTTTCGTTTCTTAAATAGCCCCCCTCCTTTTTTGCATGGTTGGGGTTTGGTGTCGTGCGTTGCGGGTCTATTCCACCAACACGTAAACTTCATGTTTACCAATTGATCACATAGATGATTCGATGTCTAGTAGTATGTTGCGTGAGAGGTCGCATTTTGCGCCGGAAGTGCCAGCTGTCCGCGTTCTGCAACACCCAAGCAGCGCTAGAATACTGATGAAGGGTGAAGTGGTGTAGGTCGAATTGAAAAATCGTACATGTCGTAGATGTCGTAGACGTGATGACACGCTGTACTTCGTTGGCGTTGGTTTTGGTGTGTTGGTGTCGAGCGGCGCGTGGTTCATGGATCGCGCGTTCCGTGAGGGAACCTTTCCGCTGTTGAAGGTTGAAGAACAACAATGACGTCACTGTTGTCAGGTTGACAGATGTCGCGGCGATGACAGCGCCCGTGGCGGTAAGTTTGAAGTTGAGGTAGGTGCAAGTCGAGAAACAGGTGCGTGGTGACGCTGTCATTGTACTTGCCTTTTCTTTGTCTACACTCTGCAGGATGCTGGATAGTCTGCGTATTGTATTTGTCTTGGTGATCACATTTTCGACTGCCGTGGAAATCAGAAGGCGTTTTGTTCGTCCGTATCAGGAAGAAAGCAGAGTGTGAGACTGGCAGCCGAAACGGTCCAAGTAGTACCAGCGTGTGGACGCTCTGAGCGTTGCGGCACGAGTTGATTCTATTTTCTTTCTCTGTGAATTTCTTGTCCACCTTTGTCGTATCTCTGGGAAGATTGCTATCTGATCTGCGGATTTTTGGTGCCGCTGGTTTGCATGATATCGTTGCGGGCGAGCGTTTTTGTTTTGAAAAGGCATTTCGGCCGATGGTTCGCTGGTTTTGTGGTGATTTATATGTGATGCTTCATGTTAATGTGGATGCTGTTGTTTTGGAAGGGCGCAGTCCCTATGCCCCCCCCCCCGGCTAATGTTTACAGTTGATGAGTGGTAGCGGGGTGAAGGCCTCATGTATTTTTACCGGGAGGTTGGCGTTTTGCCTGCACACGTCCGTAGGTACGCCACCCCGAGGATGGTCATTCTGGCGATGAAACGATGTTCCTACATCCAGGCGGTGTTAAATACTCGGAGTAGGTGGTGAAGTCACAGATTGCGGTGCTAGGCGGTTGTGGTCTGCTTCCCCGACGTGTCATGTGCCACGCAAGACGGTAATGTCGTGCGTAGACGTGCGGGTGCTTGGAAGAATGCGACGGGTTTGCTGAGCAACTGACTCGCCTATACGGCGGTAGTCCGTGTGTGGGCCGTGTTTTGTGCTCTCTGTTTTTGGGGGAGTGTCATCTTGCCTGTTCTTTCTGTTTCGTCATGGAAATAGACATGTTCTTACTCATTTGGTGTGCCATTTCTCCTGTAGGCGCGTGACATGGGGATTTCTATTCCTCATGTACCCCCCCAATTTTGTGCCCGGCGTCCGTTGTCGAATTCGATGTGCGATGTGTAACATGTTCCGAACCCTGTTTCTTCTGTGATGAATTGTTGTTGTGGATATTCGTCGTCGTTGTCCATCTTGTTCACGTTATTAAACGCTCTGGGCCTCTATTCGGTAGATGGTTCTTCTTCGAACCGCTCTCGAAGGTGCGTCCCGATATTGTTCTTTGTTTCGCATCCCCCCCCCCGCCTTTTTTTCGTGCGGGAGGCGACTCCGTCCTTCTGTATTTTTGTTGTGTCAGCACGCTTGGGACCGTGACTGTCTTGTAGACGCCTCTCGCAAGGTAAACTGCTGTAGTCCAGTAGTGTTTCCGCGTGTTCCTCCTTCTTTTTCGGAGGTCACGTCGAAGCAAACTCCAGCTTTGTAACGGCCGAGAAAACCAACGCTCTTTCTGTGTCACGAAAAAGAAGGAGGCGTTCGGGGCTGTCGCTGCAGGCATGTATCCCTTGCAGACCTTGGCCCGGAGTGGCTTCCTTCCTTCTTTCTTCCTCGAACTCTCTTGATTTTTATTCGCTAAGGTTGCGTGCCGAGTGCTCTTTGCGTGCATTGTGCTTCATGACAAGTTGGCGTGGTCTCAAGCAAGCACGGCCGCGCCGCATCCTTGTGGTCTGGTTGCGTGTGCCGTCCATCGTGCGTCGGTGTTGCAGCAGGTTGATTCGGCGGCGACAGCTTTTTGTTTGGTATTGCACGATTTTTGGTTCGTACCATGGTATTTACTTGCGCGATGACTTGGTATTTATTTGTGTGGTGACCGCGTTTGTCTTACTGGAACACAAGTGCCCCAAGTGTTTTTTATGGTCAATCTGCGCGTCGTTGTCGTATTCTATGTTGTGTTGTTTTGTCGTCTTGAAGTGTGGAAAAAGGAAAAGCTGCATGTACCCCAGGAATGTACGTGTTGGTGGAGGTCCGTGAGCGTCAGGTTGACAGGTTGAGTCGCACGCCGGCTCGCTCAGCAGCTAAATGAACTTTTTTATCAAAGAAGAGGTTTCCCTGGCAAGCGAGCCACCCAAGTAACTTAACCGCCCAGAGCGGTGCAACGCGGTACAGACCACCTATTATAACAATGTGGTTGAGGGGGTAAACCTCCCCTCCGGACGAAGGCGCGGTTTCAACGGCTCATTTGACCCCGCCACCATGCTGTACTGCTGCTGTAGTGGCCAAACCAAGGTGGAAAGACTCGACTATTTCCGTTTTGGAAGGAACGTCGTAGGATAGGATAGGGCTCCAGGTTTGCATCCCAAGGGTGTTGCGAGGGTGGCTAAGCCAATCAATGAGCAAGAGGAGACCGAAAATGTCGCGTTATCGTTGCCGAAGATTGGTTGGTTCTCGTTCCATGTCTGCCGGCAGCAACGGAGCTCCGGGGCTTAGCTCAGTTGTGGAAGCCTCAGGAGGTACCTGGTGGAGAACCACCGGGGCATGTATGAAGTACTACTTTGTATCTCGTTTGCCCATTCTCCGTGAATCGCTACCAACGTCGCTACGATAGACTGATGGTTACGAGAATAGCAACAAGAACAGTCCATGCTTGAGGCAGCTTGTCACAATCGTCGTTCATTCATATCCAGGGGCCCTAACAAGAAGCCTCTCGTACCTTTTTTCGGCAACCAAGCCTTGATCTGCTACAACCTCCGTGACACCGAAGAAAAACGCCAACATTTTACCACTGCGTTCTCGACTGGCTTGAGCCAATATGCGAAGCAGGCAGAAGGAAGGAGACCGGGCTCTTTCTTCCGCCGCACCGACTGCTGCTGCTGCCGACGTACAACTGGCACACAACAACCCCAAAGTGTACCGTTCGGAAATATTGGCGCGAGAGAAGCAAAGCAATGGCCGTCGCCGACGCCGTTGTTCTGGCCGTTTCGGCCCGCACCGGCGCGAAGGAAGCACCTCATCTACGACGGAGTTACTCCTACCAATCAGCGCGCACGAAGCACCTCATCTACGATCGTGAAAATTCCGAGCAATCAGCGAGCACGAAGCACCCCATCTACGACGGTGAATAGTCCAACCAATCAGCGAACACGAAGAACCTCATCTACGACGGAAAATTCGCCAACCAATCAGAGAAGTGCTACGCGCAACCCGACGACCCCACAGAACCATAACGCTATCGCCGAAGTCTGGCCAACTCCATGAGGCACCAAAAGGAAGGAACAAGCAACAAGTACATCATGCCGCACTTTCGTCATGCTGCACTTTTGTCAAGTCTCTCCCTCTGAGCGTTGTGCATTACTCCCGTACCAGGTTGTATGTCAAGGTCGTGGTTGCTCTCCACCCAACAACTGTAGTCACCATCACGAGTGCGCGTCATACCGTCACCCGGTGACTCGATCCAACGCTCTAGCTGCTTCTCTCGTGGCTGGGTGGTCTTTTCCCAAACAGACCGATCTAATCGTCGCCGCTCTCTCCAGCGCCTGCTTTCGTTCGCTGCTTGAGCGAGAATCACCAGTAGTGGCCACGGGCAGGGTGTGGATGGCGGGAGTGTAAAGACATTAGGCACTGCTGCCGCACTCGGTGAGATCAACAACACGCCATCTAATATTTGCGCTCTCAAGACTCCAGCACCTGTGAGTGTGTGTGTAACTTGACTTAGCATGGACAGCGCTAACCGCCTGGCCATTGAACAGGCGTCAGACTTTTGTCCTGCGGTGGTGAATATGCGTGTGTGTGTGTGTGTGTTTTTTTTTTTTCTTAATATGACACAACGAAACCATCTCTATCATAGAAAAGAGTCTGAGACAGATTAGCAATGGATTCATAGCGTCAGAAAGTACCTGTATGTCTACGATTTCCCAGACAGCAAATAGGGACATCTCCCCTGCGGGTAACATTATTAGCATCGACCGCGCTAACCGGCTGACAAATGAAAAGACGTGTGTGTGTGTGTGTGTGTGTGTGTGTGTGCTTGTAAAACCAACCGAAAAAAACGATTGGCGTTGACACGTGGTTGCTTACGAGGACCTATGGTGGGGAGAGCGGCCCTGAAAGGAAGGAATTAGTAGTCCTTGAAAGGGTGAGTAGCACGGCAAGAGCAATAACAGTCGTTCAGCAGGTTCGCGGCCAAAGCAGCGGGTAGGACACGGTTCCATGGTACGATAGGCAGGCACAAGGGCGTGCACAAAAAAGGCGTGCCTTGGTTCTTTAACCTCACGAGAATCGAGGAGGATGAACACACAGGGCACGCGGTTTCTCGGACAACAGCGCTACCCCTCTTCGAAATCACACAGGGAAATGTGAAATGTGTGTGTAAGTGGCTGTGTGCATGTCGGTGGGGGGTGGTCCCATCACCACACAAAATCCAACCTAGAGAATCACATCTACCTTACAACACGCAACAACAACTTCTTGAGCAGCGGATTACTCTCATCCACCTGCGACAAGCAAGTGTGCAGAACGACTCCCCTCACCTAACCGCCTGGCTCCTCGACTTCTTGGGCAAGGTTTGGCCGCGTTTCTGTAGCAAGGCGTCGTTCGCGTCTGCCAGTGCGGCGTGAAAGTCTCCGAGCTCGGGGAAATTGGCCGGGTACACCGCCTCCATAGCCGACACAGCCCGTCGCAAGTGCCTGGTGCCGCGCGGAGAAGAGGATAAGACTGCCGAAAGCTGTTCGTACATGGTTGTCGCGACTGTTTTTTTCCCTATATCGTGCTTGCTGACTCTCGCGGCAGCACCAAGCTCGGTGGCCTCCTGCGCGCAGAGGGGCGATTCACTCTCGCGAACTTGGATCGGCTACTTTGAACTTGGACTTAAAAGCCCTTGCGGGTTCTTGTGCGTGTCATTGGTTCGGGATGGACGGTGGGTATGTAAAATACCCAAAGGTTTGAATGTTTAAATGCACCGCTCACTCCCCGGCGGTTCGGTGGGGAGCCTCGTATCCTTATCTTTATCCCATCACTCTCGACATTTTGGTTGGGCTTTGTATCTCTCCGGAGTGAAAACTCAGAATTGCCACATGAGGGAACGGAAACCGCTTAGTCGTGAGTAAACACAAACCGAGTTAAGGACCTGTTGAACGGTGAACCCTTTAATAATAATAGCGCCAAAAACTGAAAGCAACCACCGCATGTGTGTAGGGAGAGAAAAATCGCCTTCCTCCTGTGTGATTTCCGGCCTTTACTGCTGTGCGTCCAAAACAATTACCGAAAGGCGTAGACTGGAGCCAGAACAGAACAGAACAGAACAGAACAGAACAGAACAGAACAGAACAGAACAGATCGGACGAAAACACACAAGCAACACACATACGCTCTCGGTAGAACCCTTTGAAAGTAAGGCGTGGTTGCGTTTTTTTGTATCCGCCTCAAGACTGACGTATTTTCATTGGTCAGCCGGTTAGCGCGGTCGATGCAAAAAACAAAAACAAGCGCACACACTCGGGGACGAAACCGCTTGCGCCCGGTTGGTTCAGCAAACTATCGCCACCGACCTTGCACTAGCCGCGTGATCTTCCTCGAAGGTGCAGCAGTTCGACAGCGGCACGAGGGTTTGCACAACCATGACGTTCGCCGGGTGGAGCTTCAACCTATCCTTCTTGACCGACTTTTTCTTGGTCGCGGTTGGCGGCAGAACAGCACCTGCCAAAAAAACAAAAAAAAACTTACGGCATAGTCGGTAGCACTGCTGTGTTGCTCCTCCAAACGTGCTCAAGTAACGGAGTGGGAGGGCACTCGCAACATGGAATACGCTCCCATCCAGTCGTGCAGTCAAACAACTCCAGGGTGTGGATGGAGAACTTGTCACTACTATAATAGAAGAGCTTGGCTCTACGCCAGCCACAGGTGGGTCAAGTCTTGAAACGCTCCCGCCCACCAACACTGGCAAGGGTGAGCTAACCCTAACCCTAACCCTAACCCTAACCCTAACCCTAACCACAACCGATACTGGCAAGAGCGAGGTCGACATCGAAACATTATGAATGCTGTGTAAATTCATCTCCCGACACTTCGGGCCGAATACTAGACATCCGCAATACGATGGCACTGGGAGGGGCTTAAGACTCATGCGACTGACTTCCAACAGACGAAGCAACCGCCACGACAAAGGGGTTACGGTATGGTGGGATGGGGACCATTCCCTAAGCCGGCGAGCAAAAATCGTCCCTCCAGGCTCCACTGCCTCTCATACGTTGGGGCTAGGCTAGCCCCTCACCTGCATCGTAGTCCTGGAGCCACTTTTCAAGAGACTTTCTGGCCAAAGAAAAACTTTTCGCTCTAACGACCGCCATAGCGGCATCCCTGCGGGGAGGGCCGGGAGGGGAACGACACGCGGGCAAGCACCAGACGAAGCCAAGGCGGTCACGGAAGGGGACTTGGCCAGGGCTCCGAGGATGGGGGGCTTAGCTCCTACCTGGTAGGCTACGAAGGGCCGCTACAAAGGCTTTGGCGGACGGGGTTATTACCCGGGTCAAGTTGTATGATACACAAAAGGGTTTGATCAGAATGGTTCAAACTGGACGTGGTGGAGAACGAAAGGTTGGTCGCCAAGGGTAAGGCGCGATTCACACGTCAGCCCTAGACCCTCCTGAGGGCTGGTTGTCGACTTCTGCCTAGCATTTTTCAACCGGTCTCAAGCCGAGGCCAACGTGTTCGCGCAGCGCCACAGCGAGTGGAAGCTTTCAGCCTCGGGAGTGGGCTAAAGACAGCACCTACACTGGTCATCACACCATAAGTACGTGCCCTGACAGTCTTCCCCCGTCTGTGCTGGGCTCCAGCAAAAAAAAATTTCCTGTGAAAATATCCTAGGCACACAGAACACGGGGGTCTGTCTGTCCGCCACACCATAAGGCCTTAGCTCGTGCCACGCTCTCCTCGACCGCCGTGCCCGGGTACTCCCGCCCACACGCAGAGCAGTACACCTTCTGCACCACGCTCTCACTTCCGCCACGGACGCCACCAGCCCTGCTACCGTTCCCACTGCCGTCCTTCGCGCCCAAGGCGGCGGAGGGATTGACTGAAGTTTCACGACGCGAAGTGGTACTACCACCGCCGCCGCCCTTTTTCTTGCCCATGCCCTTACCGCTCCCGTTAGCCGCGGACTCGTCGGCCAAGCCCTCGCCGAGTTGTGCCAATTGGGCCGCCAGGATGTCTTCCGCGCTTGGCGGGGGGCTGCCACGACGACAAGAAAAGGGAAAACTTTTGATTGGTGGAAAAAAAATCAATAACTAACTCCGGCGGGTAGGTACGGCGGTGGATCCTAGCGCATGCTACAGTAGGTGAACCGTTTCGAAAAGGTACGAAGGTAGGCAGGCTTCGGAGGAACGCGCTCGGAACTCGAGACGTAAAATCGTGGTGAGGGTTCAGCTCAGTGCACGCAACAGGGGTGCCCAGTCGAACGGGAGATGGGTCGGTTGTAGTGTACCGTGAAGGTGTGTAAGGCGAAAAATAAGAGGTACGGGGGGGCTGAAGCTAGTAGTCACCTCCTTTTGCAGCGCTTAACCGGCCCCACACGATCCAGATCCAACCCCATTTCGTTCTGCCAGCTAGTGGCTCTTTCGACCCCCAAGCCTCGCCGTTGGTGGTCCCGCTCACACTTCCCTACAACACCTTTGCCTTCTCCCCTTTCCCACTGGTTCATCCCACAACCTTCCACATCACGGCTCCTGTCTTACTTACGTGGGCGTGAGGCAGCCCCTCTCTCCGCAGTCGGTGCAACACACTCCATCGAGGTAGTCGTCCATACTCGAGGGATTCTCGCACCTGGAAGTAAGAAGATAAGAAAACACAGAGACAAGCGTGCCCGAACCAAGCAAGGTGTTAGGTGTTGCAATCCATGTTTCCACAAGGTACCGTTTAAGTCTCGGGAGGGGAGCGCGGTGGAAAGCAAGGTTTCACATGGGGAAACATCCAGAACAGATTCCAAGCAGCTGGCAGGCTTCGTCTGTAATAACGTTCTTCCCATAATCTGGGATGTGTGACGGGTTCGAATGGTGACTGACGGCCGCAGCGGAAAAGGGACAATGCATGCAGCCTCGATGCCACCCCGCTCGCAAACCGCCATAAAAAGTACCAAAGAGAGAGACATACAGAGACAGGGCGGGGGAGAGAGCGCGAGACAGACAGACAGAGAGGCAGGGAGTTGGGCTCCATCGCATTAATGTCACCTGGAGCATTTGCACAGGAAGTGCTTCGACGTGAGAAGCTCTTGCCGTCTCGCGGCGGTGCTTTGAAGCAGGTCGATGTAGTACACGCTTAGCTCTGCCCCGGCAGACACCGGCTCCAGCGTGCGGACCTCCAGATTTCCACCTTGGTGTCGTGTCCGAAGCAACGAGTGACAGGAGGAGCAAGTTTCCACCATTGCGGCTCATCCTTCCACCGCGCTTTGTTACGGAGCAAGAAGCAGGCGTCGAACTAACGTAGGCACGGCAAATAGGCACGGCAAACCTCTAATTTACAGGTCAACTCCGAAAAACGTGCCACAGGGCAGAAGCGGCGTCTCACCGAAGTACACGAACGTGCAGTTAGGCCTGCACGCATGATTAATCATGGCCGTCAGCGGGAACATCCCCACGCCGATCACGAGATTCGCGCCCGAGTCGTCCCTCAAGCCGTGGGCGTTCACGTTGACTCGGCAGGCCAGCTGCACCACTTCCTCCACGTCGAAGCGGACCCACTCCGGCAAAAGTTGCAGCAAATCCTCCCCCGCTTCCCTAAGGACGCACCGAGAACGAGATTGAGTTAAAGGCGCAGACCTAAGGGATGGCAGGTCTAAACCGTGATTCAAAGCCGCTTCTTGTCGAGAAAACGTGCTGGTGATGTACGTTCACACAACTAGGTGTTGAGCCGGGACGTTTAGAGAAAGAGAGTGTGATGATGCCTTACCGTACGACTGAGATCCAATCCGGAGCCATGGCCTCCCGGTGGTGCATGAGAGCGTACAGGTTTTCCCACTGTTGACGCAGGAACAAGCCCTGCAGCAGCGCATGACGGTGGGTCATTGTTGTCACGTCGTTAGTTGTAGCGTCATGGCGCGCGGGCTCTCGGAATGGTCGGACGTGGACTTGGCACCTTCTGTAAATAGACCAGAGAGCAGACCACATGAGCACTTCCGCTATACATGAGAGACGCGTTCATAGAGCAGACCCGCAGTAAAGAAAAGGCCAGATTCGGTCCGAGTCTAAACTTCTTAGTTCGGCACCGCCGTCGGGTACAGGTTGTTGCAACCCGGAAAATTTAGTGTAGGACCCACCGATGTTTCTTAACTCTAGTTTCTTGTTCTTCCGCTAGACCTCTCTTTCTTTGAGCTTGCCACCGACGGGCTTCAACATGGGTACTTAGGCGGGGAGTGACCTCACGGGTGTTCGTTGTTGCGATGTTATCCAGGGCTCCAATACCATCCGTCGAGGCTGAACAGCCTTGCGTAACGGCGTAGCAATCTCGAATGTCAAGAGGTAAACATAACTCCAAAGCACATTCAAACGTTACGTCTTGTATAATCACGGGAGATCGCACTCGTTTTACAACTGCGGTCTTAGTCTTGGCATTACGTGCCCCTCCTCTTGTGCCCAAAGATGGCAGATGGCAAATACATGTTGTGGCTCATGGGGATACCCTCCCTTTGTGCTGTCACACGCTCACACTATTCCCTTGTGTCTGCCCAGGAGCGCTATTTCTCTCTCCCGAGTGAACTGTCAGCGTCGTACTCATCTCTAGGCCGGTCTCAAGGTCATTGCACGGTAAGGTCTCGGAAGGGACAGTTGCTTATCTCAACAAACTCCGTGTCACAGTATTGCAATCTCGCCTGACACAGACCGTTCCCCTCCAGGGGAGTGGCAATATGATGCCGTCACGACCTCATGTCGCATCCATGTTTCCGTGACCACTCGAACCCCAACACAAAACTCCATCGTCTGAAATTTACTTGGCGCGCTGCAGCCAAGGTCCATGCGTTTTGAGGCAGTAGCACTAGAAGACGAACGAAAAGTACACTTCCAAGGTACACAGCAAAGCTATACCTATCATAGGCGTTGGGGTTATAAACCCAGACAGCGATGTCGACGTCGAGGTTGTCAGATTCCTAAATAAGTAAACATCCGCCCCGTCGCAACCCTCACCTCCCCCATCGTGCCATCCTCGCCTTCCTCGTCTACGCCTCGGCTAACGCTATCGCTGTCGCCACTCGGTTCACGCAGACCAAGCGCTTTCGCCCTCGTGATCAGCAGCCGAAGGAGCATTCGGAGTAGGTCAATGTCCACGTCCCTCGCGGCGCTGATACCGGCAAGCTTGCCGAGAGCGCTAGCTTCTGCCGCGCGAAGGGCGTCCTCCCGGGCCTGGCATGCGCGACTGCAGTAGACCTTCGCGAGAGGAACCGTTTCCCGTTTGAATGTTGAAGTAGTTTAGTGTCGGAGCGTGTGCAAGAAAGAAATCGAATGTCCAAGTTCTGTGCAACACACGACAGCCGTCGGAACACATCAGCAAAGCCTGAAAGCTTCTGTGTATACACGTCTCGGAGTGGCTGTGGATTAAGCCAGAACAGCTCGCAGGTGCTCCTATCGTTACGTTCATCTTTGACGTTTCCTCTGTCACGGAATTAATTTCCCGAAAGTCGCGTTTCCTCGCGTTTCTTTGGACGTATTTTTATATTTCACGAATGGGGTATTGCCAATAGAGCCCACCATTTTCCTCTCTGTATGACCTACCACAGTAACATACGGAATTGATGCACGGTACTCGTGCCGACCAAGCACAATTAACAAGCACGCCAGCTTCGTGTACGCCCACGTGTTCGCTGCTGAGACCCACGTATGCAACCGGTTTTGACCCACCCTGTTGCTTCTTGCCCCACGTGTTCAACTCAAGGGTTGCCCTCATGCCATCAAAGTCGACATCGTACACGAGGATGGAGGACGCGCTGCGTTCATAGCGGGAAAAGATTCCAGCGCTGAAATTTATATTGATCATCATCGTGACGACGACTGTTGTACTCTCACCGCGAACGGCACGTCTGCTTCGATCTTTCCCCGCTCGGTGACTTGCTGACAGCAGTAGGCACACTGCCGGGAAGCACAGTCGCGACGCACAACCTGTTTCGTGGCGGCCACAGCAGAGAAAAGGTGAGAGACAGCGGGGCAGGAAAAACATGGACCTCGTGTCCATCTCGTGTAGTATGTGTGCCTCACAGAACCGCCAAAATGTATCGTCCGCACCCGGTTGGTGCTCGAATCACCCCGGTATAAACACTGCTGTGCACATGAGAACAGCAAACGACCCCCAACTGATTAACTTTCACATCCAACGGTCTCAAGGAGACAAAAAGGGCACCTTGACGAACGGAGGTTCGCGCAGGACCAATTCCCCCGCCTTGAGGTCCCTGGAGGCAATCACACATCGACCAGAAACGCTGTCCTCGGTGACCTTGAAGGTGTCCAGGTCCTTGATCGTCTCGTAGACCTGGACTTGCGCGAGCTGGTTGTTTTGCTGCGGAGACTTCTTTTTCTTCTTCTTCTTCTTCTTCTTCTTGCTCGGAGCAACCGTTCCTGCATCACTACCTGCCACAAGCTCTTGGTCTTGCGCAGCAGCGACAGCAGGGGCTTGCTCATCGTCGAGGAGGTCTTCGTCTTTCGATGTGGGGATCGCCATCAGCTCGTTCGTCCGTCTGATGCAATCCGACTTCAAGTCACGCTTCTTTCTGTCCACATCCACGGCGTTCTCCTGAAAGTGCAGGGGGCCAGGCTGCTTCGTCTCTCGATCTCACTCTCTCCTCTTCCTTGTCACGTCTGCGTGGAGGGGAGAGAGGGAGCCAGAGCCTAGGGGGTGGGCGCTGTGACCCGAGGCGATGGTGTGTGGCCAGGAAATACGGAGATGTGCGGCGAAACATACGTTGGACGGGACTGGTGGAATGCGGAGGCGTGATCCCTTGATCCCTTTTATCATGATTCCGCCGCCTTGAGCAGCACACGCCCTCGCTCCCTCTCACCCTAGGCCAAAGGAGTTGTGGCATGGCGCCCGCCTTGCGCACATGGCTACTGGCCTCTCTAGTGGTGCTTTCGGTGGGCGATACCGAGGGATTTGTGGCTCAGCCTGCTGTTGTCAGAAAGTGTCCTTCAACAGGCCTCGCCTCGTCAGGCACAGCTTCCGCAAGTGCCACGGCAGCTTCGGGGCAGAAAGTCCTCGACTTCGCCATTGTGGGTGGTGGCCCTGCTGGACTTGCGGCAGCCGTGGGGTTAAAAGAAAAGGGGCTGAACGTGAAGGTCTTCGAAGCCGCCCCAAAGTTCTCTGAGAGAGGGGCAGCCGTCTTCCTCCAGGTGATGATTTGAATCTACAGCAGTGGACCGATTTTCGAAGCTCGATTACTCCACGGACGAGGAGGATGCATAAACGAAACGATACGTTTTCGGAGAGCTCTCGACCAGACGGCTTCAACGCCGCCGTTTTCGGCCCTGCGACTGTTTCTGCTGTTGATAAATCGAGCTTTGAAAATCGATCCAAGAGGTTTATCTTGTGTCGGTAACATAAGCACATGTAGGCTAAATTAGGCACCGAAAAATTGAGTTTTTGCACCCATTTCGTAGAACTACAACATATTGTAATTCAACAGTTTTCAGTTTCCCGACCTACGGTGTGCTGTGCAGTCGATACGCATTCAAAGCAGCCCCCCCACAGCAAAGTTGCAGTGTGTGTGAACCCAAGCTAGCGGCACTGTCACGGTCAAGCTCTCTGTCCTCAGCAGCTACAGCTTGCTACAGCTGTAGATTAGTCTGCAGTTCTAGTGTAGCGTACTAGTACACATATACTCTGCGGGAGGCTTTTCTCGGCGAACGCTCGCCAACACAATTCCAGAAGATTGCGTACTTCTGTTCTGTCTCGCTGGAAATGGTGAGGGCCTGCACTTCGTGTATGTAGTTGTACCCTTGTTCTATGCATTTGGCTCTGTGGACAGGCCGCGGAAGGGCCGTCAGAGGTTGTGGTTAACTCGTGAAATCCCTTCTCTCGGTTGTACACTGAACCGGAAGGCACTCAACTGGGTACAGTAGCCCCCAAACACCAACAAACAACCCTCTCCCTTCTCTACCTTGCGTCCCCCTGCCCGAAACAAGCAGTCGTTTGGGCTTGCAGAGCTCGACAAGATCCAGCCGGGGTTGGCGGCGGAGGCTGTGGCTGCCGGTCGTGAGGTTGAAACACTTCATCTCACCCGGCCCTCCGGCGAGACGATCGCTAAGGTGGACATGACTCCTATCACCAAACTGGTGGGCTACCCGTTCATTGGCATTTCCCGGCACGCGTTGCAGAAGGTCCTGCTGGGCCATCTGGAGGATGACGATGTTGAGCTGGGGGCGCGCCTTGAGAGACTCGATACCGATGAGGGGGAAGGGATCACGGAGCTCCGCTTCCGGGGACAAAGCGAGGTCGTGCGTGCTCGGGCAGTGATAGGAGCGGATGGGCGAAGGTATTGACCGACCGACCGACCGACCTTGGATTAGGCTGTGACGTGCGGGCGCCTACGTTGTTGTCGTTTGTCGGGAAGGGAGTGGGGGACCTTGCTGCAACACTGTGAACAGGTCAATACCGCCGTCGTTTGGGAATACTGCTGAACACCGTCCGTTGGTGCTCAGCTCTACCTCTTCTGGGTGTTCTATGCATACGAACTGAATTCTACGGTTGGTCTTATTACCATACCGCACATGACTTGGATCCACAGGGCGAGGGTTCGCGGCGCTGTGCAGGCAGGGAAGAACATGGAAATTCGGAAATCCATGTTACTATATGTACCTGATCCGTATCATTGTGCCTTATGATGCAGCCTGCTGAACAACTTAAAATGAGGAAGCACGGTGGCCACCACAGACCGTATCAAATACTCCGGAGGATAATTTTTTGCCCTTATGTTTGGTTTTGAACAAGTTAATTTTAGGGTTTTGAGAAGGATGTGTCTTTCCAGGAAAGTATATGTTTGGTGTGGTGGACCAATCAGGCAGCTACAAGTATCCGTGGTCCCTTCCGTGCCCCCCGTCCAAACATGCGGTCACGAGCTACCCTCAGCTCCTTTCGGTCTAGCGGATTGAATGAATTTAGTTAACCTTTTGCACCAATACTCTTCTTTTTTGTTCCGCTTCGAACCCAGATCCATCGTGCGAAAGAAGGTCTTGGCGGCCGAAGAAAGAAACTGCGACTGGGCACTGACCTGGTGGGCCTTGGCAGATATCCCAGAACCTGCCACACCCAAAGGGGAGTTCCGCATGTCCTATTCCACGAAGCAGGCCATCTATTACGGCGAGGTAAAGTGGCCTGCTGCAACTGCCGTCGTGTCGTCCATAGTGTGAACAACGTCATTGACGAAGGCACGCCAAACGCATGGTGTAATTTATGTTTATTGTTATGATCACGTCGTGTCAACACCTGCTGGCGGACGCCAAATGGGATGCCCGAGCAGCAGAGATGGCCAACCACCTGTTTTAGTAAAGAGTCTCGTTCTTCTGCGTCAACAATGTTGGCTATTCCCAACTCTCTCTCCGATTGATTGGGACATGTTGTGGCCAGAACAGAGTCAGAGCGCGATTAGAGCAGCTTACCCTCGCGGATTTGTTTTGGGGGCACTCGGCACTCGATACGGACCTGCGGGTTCCGTGTATCATTGGTGGTATGTGTTTCTAGAAGGGTAATCCCCCTTCTGCGTGCATGGGCACGCATGCGTTGCTCACTCGATAACGATACAAGGCCTTGAGTCAACCTTCTTCTCTGCGCTCTGACCCACCCTCAAAGCAGGTTTCACCACCCGTAGGCGCAGTGTTTTCTATTCCGGTCCTACTTTCTCGTTTTCTATAAGCGGTGGGCTACTCCGGCGGGGATGGTCATGTCCAAACGTTTTTTTTTGTGTAAAATGACATGTGTGCTGCTCTTCTGCTGCCATCACAGGTAGAGGAAGGGGTGACCATGTGGTCATTCACGTGTTGGAGAGACGGTGAGATAGAACGCGACCCGGAACTACGGGCAGGGCGGGCGCTGAAGGAGTTGGAAGGGTGGCCGGAAGAGGTGAACACTTACAATTTGTTTCAATACAGGACATCACTGCTGTAATATGTGTAGTGATGTAGGTTCGGCTGTATGATTGCTGTGTGTAATGATACTTATGCAATGCCACGTAGTCGCTGTGTGATAAGTGATGGTTGGTACAACCTATCTTGTGTAGCGACGAGTGAAAGCGAGGAGCTCATAAATGAATTGATTGTTGACCGTAGGAGATTAAGACTGTAGAGAGACCACTAGGTGATGCGAGCCCAACCAGGCTCACTCCCCAACTATCCCGCTTCTTCTGATCTCTACAAACAGAGCTAGGATCCGGTTCCACCAGCAGGAAATTATTGATAGCCCCTGTGACAGCAATGACTTTACAGTCTCGACGACAGCGTACGGACTTATCCGCTTTCTCGAGACCCTGCGGTACAGGGCACCTCACATTTCTGCACAATTCTCCGCGATATTCACGTGTCGTTTTCTGTCGTGAATTGCGATATATTGGTGTCTCCCCGCGTTGTTTCCCGCGCGGCGTGAATCATTCATTGTGATAAATCAAAGCTACGAGTATCGTCGGCGTTGCCTGTCTGAATGAAGCCGATTTGTCATTTTGCGGGTTTATTTAGCCGATGGCTGAGTTTCTGTGTTGGCAGATCACGACCCGACGGTGGATGTGAAACAAAAAAAGAAAAAATGCTTGGGGAACCGCAATGAATTCACTGCTAATCTACCACGGGCTCTTATGTGTGGAATATATGGATTTGTTATGTTCTTTGTAAGAAAATAAAAATAGACAGGTGCGCGTGAGAAAAAGGGTGTGGCGCTAGAGAAGTCCGCCGGCCACAGTCCGTTGTTTTGTTGACAGTATTGACAGTCGCCTAAGGTCGACATCGCGAGACGTACGCCGTAGTTCGAGATCGGTCTGTCTGTTGTGTGCTTTCAAGCGGACCCTGAGATTTTCGATTTTTTCCGAAATTGTTCGAAAAGACGAAAAAGAGCGATGGAGACAGGCACACGGCGAACCGGTAAAGACGAGAGAGAAACAGCGCGCATGGTCGCACATGGCCACCTACTTGAGGCGTATGCTACTGCGCGTGGAAGTGGATGGGACTTGGGGTCATAATTTGCGATCCCGTACCGAAGCATAGTCGAGATGTCGCAAGACGTGCGCCATAGGTCGAGATCGGCTTTAAATTCACGGTCGGGCAAGGGTGGGGGTATCGGAATGACAGGGGAACACTGCGACCAAAATGAAGTTCGTCGGAGAGACTGAAGGTTACAGCTTCAGAATATAGATGCAACATTACTACTCTGTGTTTCGTTCACGAGACTGTAACTGACTGTCGGCGTGCTTTGCAGGTGCGGAATGTCGTCCGAAACACGCCTCCGAACAAGATCATCGAAGTTTACGTGGGAGACAGCCCCTTGCAATGGACGACGTGGAGCAAGCAGCCTGGGGTTAGCTTGATGGGCGATGCTGCCCACTCAATGCTTCCGACTTTGGGTAGGTCAAGGAAAGGTCGAAGGAAACACATCGTACTTTTTTGTGTTTTATATCTTATGGGCCAACAAGGGCGTGGTAAGTCGGGATTTCCCAGCCTGTCGATTATTATGGTTATGCATATCCGTACATCGGTTCAGCGGTTGTTTATTCAGGTTGACGCGAAGGTTCTCTGGGCGGAAACAGTCTTCAGGCGATTGCCCATCCACATCCTATGGAGTAGGCGGTGAAGGGACGATTCATGTGTCCCAGCGATGAAGGTGTAAGATCTTGTGTACAATACTGATTCGTTGTCGCATTCTCCTGGACGCTCCGATATGTTGCTGACTGATGCCATATTTGGTCCACCCATTCCCATCGTGTCCGTGTGGAAACAACGCTCCGTCCTCTCTAGGACGAGGGGTCAATGATCCAACTGCTAAGTCATGCAAAACACGAGTACGCCCCCCCCCCCCCCCCCCCCCCC